AATCATAGGCGCAAAGTTTTTGACAAATTTCGGTTTAGTGCCACACATAAAAAACAAACGGCTGATTGATCCTCTGACATCTTCATCTGTCTCAGGGTCCGGAAAGAACGTCGATATCCATGATATCCTTTATCAAGTTGTTCAACATAGTTCGCAAGTATATAACCTATCCACTCCTAACAACTACAAACTGCCAAAAACTGTCACAAATAAGCCATCAGATTGAAACAGAGTAACGACCGTTTGTAGAAAAGCTAAAAAGATACTCTAGATGATGGGCATGTGGTGATTACCGTAAATTGAAAAGCAGCACGAAACCCGACCGTTATCCAATACCGTACATTGATCAAGTGTCAGAACGACTTAATGGAAGTACAGTATTCTTTAAGATTGACATTAATCGAACATATTATAACATTTCAATGAACCTGGAACATATTGGCAAAACTGCAGTCAGCACTCCAGTGTGAATGTTTGAATTTGTCGTAATGCCTTTTGGGCTAAAAAATGGAACTCGAACATTTCAACACCACATGGACTCAATCTTTCGACCCACACCATTCGGTTTTTATCATTTAGACGATATTTTCTTTTTTTTCAGATAGGATTAAAATACTGCACTCATATCTTCTTACGTGCTGATCATATAAGAGAACCACTTTAGCCGCCATATACAGGTCCGCATAAAGTTATCAAAAAGATAAGTAAACGGATCTTCAAAATTCAAGTGGGCACCAACCAACTAAACGTCTCGATAGAACGGCTGAAGCCAGCGGTCCTCGCAGTAAAACATAAGCAGGTAACAGAACCACCATTCTTAGAGGTTTCAATCAACCCGACTCAACCCAAGCGCAACGATGGCACCAGCAATAAGGTACGCAAAGTAACTTTTGCCGACGAAGACCTGAAAAACTAATGTTTTTTAACTGTCTCTTCAAGTTTTTAAAAATATAAAAGTCATTAACTCATCCTGCACTCCGATTATACTAATAGCTTTCGCTAAAACTCCAATCTATTCGCTAAAATTCTTAAACATGCAATCCGTTTATTTTACGAGAATTACCAAGTAGGCGATTCTGCTAACATAACCTTTTCCGGCGATGTGGATAATGCCGAAAAGCATTAAAATGTCAAAGTAACAAAAACAAAAATTTTCTGCTATTAGTGTTTAATTGATGAAATAATGGATTATTTAATAAGCTTTCTTTCATCTTTCGAAATATTTATGTAATCTTTTAACATGGGAAATTATTGCGCACATGGTACCGAGAAGTTGATCAGATGGAATTTCGAAGTGTGGGACAAAGTTTTTTATTGAATCTTTCTCAGACTATTGCAAGTAGACGCATTAGAACGATTGCCAATAGAATGAACCGTCAATAAAATATGTGAAACTGTTTGTTTATTTATTTTGTTCAGTCGACTGTTGTCATTACAGTATCTACTATAGTATAGTATTGTCAATACCTTCTCAGCATTCTTTTTAATGTTAGCTTTTCGTTTGACTGCAGACTTATTTAAAGTCACCATCATGTTCCGTTGTACTTGGCATGGTTTTTCCAGATTTTCCAGACCATATTGTCTAAATATGTGAGTATATATATGGTTTTCTGTATTTTGTTGTTTAATTAATAAAGCTTACAAGTAATGGGGAGTTCAAGAAGTGCATATTTAGTGAATTATCCACGAGTCAATACATTCGGTTCAGTTTTGTTTGTCAGTGGACTAGTCCATAGGTTGCCTATAGATAGTTCAAATAGTTAATATGAATATTTTTAAGAAGTATCTATTCTGCTCGTTCTAGTTAATCTTGAATCCGAAAGTGTATGATCTACGTTATAGCTTCGACATATCAAAGGTTTTTTAGCGAAGCTTTTACAGAATTGTCGCAACTAACATATGTTGATTTAATGCTGCTTTCTGGAGGACAATATATTTAAGCAGTTTTACGGCACCTTTCTTGCAACAAATTTGTACACATGTTGCCTACGTTTTGTCATAAGTTATGTACATTTTTTCGAACATTTTTTTACAGTGATTTCCGCTGGCAGAATCTGACAAATGGTTGGTGTAATATGTTGTAAAGTTGTCGGTTTTAAAATAGTTTTTGTTCACAAAATGCTTTTCTAATATGACCACTATATAAATATTATATTCAAATACAATTGTCTTAACTTTGTTATTTTTTAACAAAGATAAGACAATCTGATTTTCTGATATTGCACTTTGAGATGCGAAAAGCCTCTAGAATTCTGAGTTCCAAATTCTCATGTGGTTTTAAAATTAATTTAAATGATTCTAGTATGCATATACTAAAGTGCTGTACCGAAAATGTCATTAATGGGGCAGTTGCCTCTAAATCATCTAACGCCCTTTGTTCGTCATTTTAATTGCACGGGTATAAAAGAAAATGATTTGAATGCTTTACATAGTCCGCTGAGATTGCAATCCTAGTGGTTTTTGCAGATGAGTCTGTTTTCTGACTTTCGAGAGTTATTACGACTAAAGGTTGCGATCTGAGAACTATCCTACAAACTAGTTGCGAAACAATATCCATAGGAAAATATAAGTATTGGCACACTGACTAACACAAAATACCTCATTGAATTCTTTATTTCAAGAAAAATCTTCAAAAAGTTTATGGAAATTAAAGAAGGTGCTGTGTAAAATTCTAACTACTCTCCAATTTACCTGCATAAATAATAATTAACAAATACATTGATCAAAACCTTTTCAAATCAATAGTAAATCAAACATCAACTCAACCCGATAATTCTATAAAAAACGAATGGCAACTGTGAAACAAAGTTGTAGATAAAATAAAATATGAATGAACGGGGTACTAGCTCCCACCTGAGCAGAGCACTGCGACTGTGCTATATTAGAGAATACTCTAGTACAACTATTAAATTAGTTGGAACCAGACAGTGACCGAAAAACTTTGAACAACCAGTGACCCATTTTTTTAATCTGAGTCGATCGTCAGTCAACAAAGAACTCAGATTGCCTACACTAGACAAGCTATAGGAGATACATCTAAAGTTCTCAAATACCAACGAATTTTTTATTGGCTACGCCATGTGGGGAGAACGTGACTGTGTTATACCAATATGATGCTTCAAATGTTGATGAAAACAGCCATTCGTAGAAACCTTGATTCATTAGATAAAGTTTTTGAAAAAATAATCTTCATTCGACTTCAAGAAGAGTTAGCAGCGAAATATTAATTTTTCAGTGTTTATAAAAAGATACCTGGGAGTTTGGAGGAAACGAGGATGTTGTTCAAAGATCATTTGACATGAGTGAACAATATAAGGGAAAAAGTTAACGAGGCCCTCTCTTCCTTTTAAAATGCTCCCCTCCCTTAACCTCATTGTTAAATTCAAGCATAAAGCTCACCTAGATGCGCTGCAGTGTTTCAACTGTCAGCGGTATTAGCATACTGTAAAATTCTATGACTTCTCCTATCGATGCGTTCACTGCGGTGGCTCGCAGCCTAAAGGTGTGTGTATTCTCTCACCTAAAGCTTTTGATTCGGTCACTAAGCAACAAATATCTGAAACCATCCCTAAATGTTGCAGCTGTGCTCAATCTGGCCACCTCGTTGGAGCTACAGGTACTCCAAATTCAAGGAACTTTGCGCTTTATGCACACACTACTTTAAATCTATATCGACTAAAACTCTTTCGCTTAGTGAATCTAATCACTTTATTACTTCATTTACTTCTACGGCTATGACCCATAGCACACCCCGGCTTTCTGCTGTATCACTTAACAAACCAAATTCCACCCGTCCTCCCACCACCGCAAACCTGCCTCGTTCATTAACACTTTCATGCCTAACATAGTATCGTATAGTATTTTTTCGTTTGCCTTAAGTAACATTTTTGTGCTCTTATTTCACAAGAGAAACGCAAGGCAAAGTCCTTACCCGCAAAGTTCTCGCTCACCCCTCGCTATATTCTTGTTGCACAGGCACGTCACAATCACCTCCGAAATTCCTCCTAACCAACCCACCCAACCAAACTTCTCAACTTAAGCTTTTAATCTGGACTCAATCTTTCTCATGATTTAGATATATTTACTGTGTTCCCTATCGCGAACCTGCACGGTACACTGCTGGTTATCTGTTGTTATTCCTGAGAGATGGTTTCAGTGGGTTCCAGTCTTACACGGTTTCGTTTGATGATTTCTACCTACTGTAAAAAAAAAACTAAAAAAACCAAATAGTTTAGTTTCATTTAAACTCTTAAAGAGATAGTATAGCTCAACTTGTTGAAGAGATAATATTGTAATACATTTTAATTATATTCAACGTAGTAAAAGACAAAGAATTGACAAATACTTGCTGCAGGCTCCGTCGATAAAGTTCTTTTGGCAATCGCACAAAAATAATTGCGGCAAGTGTAATAACGTCGTGAAGTCTTCTATTGTAAGCAAACTGCATAAAACAAATGAAACCACAAATACTGCAATAGATAATGGCACGAAAATTCTGCAAAATAAAGTCACTAAAGAGCTATGGCGGCATATTAAAAGTTAATCTATGGTGTGACCACCACACCAGTTGTTTCTGCAGACAAAATAAGTGAGTTCGTGGTGGAATAAACTACTGAGTAGCTACTACCCCAGAAAATACGAAAGCTATTTTGATGAGTATGCGAAAAGTGGGAGAAGCTATTAGGTCCTAATGCACCATCACCTGATATTTGAATAGTTTCCTAATATAAAAATTTTATTATTGAAGCCAATATTACGTTGAAATTACAAAAAAGGAATCGCAGAGTTCTTCAATGTTATCAATTTTAGATTTAAAATTTATAAATCCCCATCTTTAGGACAAGTTTAATCTAACTATTTTAGGTGAAAAAGAAGGAACCTCTATGTGTAAATACCTAATTTATTGAACATAGTATTGTGCACATCATAGTAAGCTTTAAAAAATACAAGAGGAACTTAAAAACGTTTTATTCACAATTAAAATTCTACATTCAGTTGGTTCAATATATATTTTAAGAAGCCTCTTAGAATTAATAATGTTTTTTATGCGGTCATAACTGTTGCTGATTTATGCTTATGCATAGCAAATTGGGATCTTGACAAAACGCTAGCATTACAAACTAGACAATGGTAATGAGTATGTTTCATGTTATAAGAGCAGCTCAGTTCCTGCGACAATTGATTGCATATATCGTTATCACTTATGCAATTTGTCTGTGAGTGGACTACGATCGTTGTACAATTTTCGTTGCATGTAATTTTACGAAACCCGGCCAATCGTATACATTCCATTTTCATATGCAAACGTCGATGAGCCACCACTTTATTAGTGTCGGAACATACAAATGTACATTTGCGACAGTGGAAATGGGATGTTTTTTTTGAGCTGGCCTTATTTGACATAAACAGACAATTAACGAATCCACATTTCATGTTTACACGATATTGACGGAAGTCATCTCCCATTAAAGAATCCAGTCGTTCGTGACGCGCGCTATGAGTAGCGTAACGAGTTTTATCGCAGAAACTGTAGCAGCAATCATTTCGATTGCAGTGAAAATGTGTTTGATGTTTGCGATAAGTGCAGCGGGAAAACCCGCAATCTTCGTTGAAACGAAATTTCACATACCCGATTGGGGTCTTATCGTTCTTTATTTTTAGTAGTTCTTCATTTTTGGACACAGCTTTTGCTTGGTTATTAACTGCATTTTCTGGTTCTATTGTAGCAATAGCCGCCACAGTATTTGACACATTTCTTAAGAATAAGCTCATTTCATACATGTTATTAGTGTTTGCAGGGATAGATTTTCGGTTTGATGATAAGCTGCTTTCTTCAAAAGGTCTGAATTGTCCAGTGCTAGGTGCTAGGCTCACCTTGAACTGCTTCTGTTGGAGGCAGTGCTGATAATAAGCCTGTACTAATTGCTGAAGTCTAATGTTCAAAGGTGGAGACCATTCAATTTCCGCGGAGTGTTCATTAATATTATTTTGTTTCTTACATTGATTTATTTTTGATTTGCTACTAATGCTTAAATCTTCTGGTAAGTCTTTTTCATCACAAATTGAGCTATTATTACTCTTTGAATGTTCCAAATATTTCCTCAAACACGTCTCTTTATTCCTTTTCAAGGATGTTTGCATTTTACTGGCTTTCTGCTTTGTCGATGGCGTCTTTGACTTCCGATTTGCTAGTAGACGCTTAAAACACATATTGAAACCTTTTTTATTTTCTGGAAAGAAAGTTCCAGTCGCTCGTACAACTGCAATAAGTCAAACATTTGATCAAATACATATATTTGCATATTATCGCATTAGAAAACAATATATTTACCTTCCAGTTTCCTGTTGTCGTCTTCACAAATTTTACTGGAGTCGGTTGGTATCAAAATCTTGGAGATAAAAAAAATGTATCAAACGAATTTTCTTTTTACAAAAACTGTATATTTTTTAACTTAATTTATTCTGATAATTAGACTATGTTTATAATTGAACATCCTTCCACAATTAAACTTAAATATATCAATTACGACAAATAAATTAATAATAAAAAATTATGCTAATTAAATTAAATTTAAAAAATTTTCTTATCAAAAAGTTATGAAAGTTTGAATATAAAATTAGATCCAAATCTGTAAAGTGCATTATTTTTTATTTTTAATTAACATTTTCAAACATGTGTTTCTGTTCTTTAAAAATTGCTCTTCATTTGCTTCTCAGTTATTAACAATAGGCGTTTTTGAAGGCTCGTTAATATGGCAAAAAACATCAAGTTGCTGGCCTATACTGGCCGAAATGTACGCAAAACAACAACACTATTTTCTCTATCTAGGCCAACAGTTATATACTGTGTATACTGGCAACATACTTCGCCCAGTGAAGAAAAAAGTGTTACCAACACAATAAGCGAACGAATAAGCGAATAAGAAAAAAGTGTTACCAACGCTATTAGCGAACTATTGTGAACCTTCATTGGAAATTCCAACGAATATTGCAATCATATGTCAAAAATTATATGTAAACAAAAATTCAAACAAAATTCAAAAATTTCATACATTTTAAAATGTAATTTACTGCATTACGTGCACATGTGCAAGATTTGCTATTTGCCAAAACAAAACACTTGACAGATTGCAACAGTGATGCCAATGTCTAGCTTAGCGAGTTTAGGCCAGCATGCGTTTTTTGACACACTTGCGAGCCACTGAAAACACCTAATGCATACGCGATTGATATACTGGAATGGCTCAAACTAAATAATTGTAGTGCTTTGGTGCATTTAAGTTAATTGTGGAAATGCTTTAATTGTAATGGTGTAAACGTGCTATGAGTATTTGAACAACAATCTTGAAGACCCAGTGCAGTTAGTGCTTAAATAGGTTATAAAGTTATAAATCTTATTAATCTCAAATGTTACTCATAGTTTGAACTTTTTCTTTGATTCATCAATATCAACTTAAACCAAACTTCAGTTTAAAAACTTAAAATCCATGCTTACCTTTTCCTTTGGTAAATCATTTTCAATGCATTTTATATTTCTAGTTTGGTAGAGGTGAAACTGTTCAACAGCACATTCACCGCTTTTGGCACCAACAGTTTTTTGGTTTTCCCCGAATTGAGATTCCTGAATTGATGTTGCAAGTGCATCCAATCCGTATTTTTGAAGTTTAAATGATGTGAAAATAGCTTGTGGCGCTTGTTGCGTCTAGCATTTAACAGAAGATAAAAGTTATTAAGCTTCACAAGAGAAACAAAAAATTATTATGAAAAAGGCTATGACTTCGGAAATAGTGAGTGAATATAAACAGGCGAAATTTCAGTAAACAAATATTTTTCTTAATAGCAACACTCTAAAAAGGTGACCATTCACAGTAAAAAAATTAAATAAATAAATAACAAAGTCAAAGTTAATCAAAGTCGATTAATAAAAAATAAAAATCCGCTGTCGAGAAGCGATTGAATTAATTACAATAACATAGCTATAATTAATATTTAGGGATGCAGGATGCATTATTTAAAAATTTTGTTTTCCAAAGACGAAACCTACATTTCCAATGATGAAATTTTTTGTAGAACTCGAAAATCATAATGATTTTTTTTGGTGAACCGTTTTCCACATTAGAGTGGTTTTCACAAAACCACACATTGCATATGTCCCCAAATCTTTTTATTATCAACATAAAGCATATATATCACGAACGAGCATTCTCTATGGCAAGTTGCGCCGTCTTGAAGCGCACTTGGAATAGACGAAATCATAATAAAATCCTGAAAGATCCCATTTGAATGATTGCTTAAGGCTAGCGTATTTTCCGATAACATTAATGGATTCAAAATATTGAAGGAAAGTATGTCGTCAAATCGTTTGTCTTATACATTTGTTAGTCTCTTAACAGCAGTTAGTAATATATTCAAGAAAATATTAAAAGAAGGCATTATTCAATTTATTCAAGTTAAAAACATATACCATCCTCAGCAGTTCGGATTTCGAAGAAAACATAGCTCCTTTTTAGTACGATAAAGGAAAATTTTGCAAGTAAAAGGAGCACAGGTACAGTGTTACTAGATATTAAAACAGCATTTGACCAAGTTTGGTTTTCAAAATGGTGAACTACGGCTTTATTTTTCAGCTAATTAAATTAACTAAGAGTTTTCTAAGTCAGCGATCGTGCATATTATGAATAGAAGGATTTGAATGCGTGTTAATTTTCACATTTACTGGTTGTCTTCAGGGATATTTTCAATATTATATAATATATATATGTCTAGTTTCCCTAATCTGGTCAACTGTACAACTTTTATATTCGCAGATGATATTGATATACTATTATCACTATTCTATGCTAATGAAATAATTAATAGTTCATAAAACGCTTTCTCATCAGTGAACATCACTTTGATACAGGGAAAATTTTAGTCAATCCTAATTCCAAATAATACTTCAGTGAGTTGGGAAAGTAAAATTAAATAACTAGAGAAGTAGTTCTAGAGGAGTAGTTAAATTAATATTATTAATAATTGTTAATATTTAAATTGAAAACGAAGTGTTCCTGAACTTTTTAAATTTACATATTAAGTATTAAAAAACACAAGTTTATATTATATTGAATAAAACTTGAATTAATAATAAAAAAAATGTTAAAAGTGAAAGTGGGTAAAAAGTGGGCATCTAGCAAGTATTTGTAGGCTAAAGTCTAAATTTGCTAATTATATATCTGAAAACTAAGACTAATCGACCAATTTAAGTCTAAAATGTCATCAAATTTTGATATTGAATCATTAAGTCTAATGTTGGGCCTTTTCCGAGTTAGTGCATCTGGGCACTTTTACTCTTTGATAGCTGGGGGGTTTCTGCAGAGTCCCACCTATCTCACTGACCAATTTGTGTATTCCTCATAAGCTTTGTGACTGATCTAAGATCTGCGTATCTCCCCGTCCGGTTAATGATTACTCTGAGATTAATGCTAACTAGGGCAGCCTGTCGGTTTTCGCATATAGCTTCAGTGAGAGCAACAACAATACTGAAATTGATCGAAATATGTTATTGAAAAATAATAACATATAAATTTTCGATTGGTAAAGAATTACGAGAAAAAGCAATGCAAAAATATATAAACTCCATAAATTGTAAAGAACAAGATGCAGGCAAGAGTGAAATGGTAAAACCAAGAAAAGTAGTGCACTATTTTCAAATTTTCTAAATTGTAATTTTTTTAATTATTTTTATTGAATTTTTAATTACTTTTGTAATTAACTAAATTAATAGTAAGTACACGTACGTGATTCAATTGAGGAAAAGTGAATTGAAGAATGATCGTTATTTTTTAAAGGAGGCGTGTTATGTACCATATATTTATTATGAACCGAGCCCAATTAATTTTATACACATACTTGAAAAAAAAAAGAAATAAAGTCATTTGCTAACAAAAATTTCACTCGTTTCAATCTAAATAATAATAATGGGTACAATGAATATTGAAACGTCTGTAGGTTGGAATTAAGAATAAGTAAAAAAGTAAGGTCTTAAGTATCTATATTTCATTACCATTTATATTAGGTCTTTTCGATGATTCGCAAGTATCGCAAAAAACAGCAAGTTACTGGCCTATGCTGGCCAAAATGTACGCAAAACAACAACATTATTTTCTCTAAGCTCATCGGCCAGTAAAGAAACAAGTGTTACCAACGCAATTAGCGAACTATTGTGTCAAAATTTATTTGTAAATAAAAATTCAAACAAAATTCAAAAATTTCTTAAATTTTAAAATTGGAAAAAAAGAAAAATTTGTGTTTTATTTTGAAATTTTCAACATTTTAACCATTCCTCTTAATTTTGTATTGAATTTAATTTTCAAATTATGTTAATTATTTATTTTTATACATAATATAATTTGCTTGCATTATGCTATTTTCGCTATTTGTCAAAACATAACACTTGACAGATTGCAGCAGTGATGCCAATGGAACCCGAAGCCAATATAGGCCAGCATGTATTTTTTGCCATACTTGCGAGCCACCGAAAAGGCCTATTGAACACAACAGTCAACATTTGCACCTTTACTTCTAAAATTTTCAGAGAAATAGCCGAAGTTAAGAAAATTATAAGCCATATATATGTTTAGGTTGTTGAAAGCTACATATAAGTGACTTCATTTAGTCATATATGTTCCCAATCTATAAATGAAATGCAACAATGGGACCACCAAATTTTAATACTACGATAATTGAAGTTTGGTTGGTATACTACACTTTGTATATGTATGGTTTTTATATGAATAATGACACTATCACTGTAAAAGTTGTCAATTTAATTTGATAGTGCGATCATATTATGAAGTATATATGGTAATTTTAAAAAGAAAATTTTAATTCTAAAAGGAATTCATAATGGCACAAAATCTATGCGTTGCTATTAATTATACAAATAACGTGATTTGCATATTTAATTTGTAATCGCTCATCGCTCATCGCTCATATTTCACAACATTTTAATTGTAAAACTGAATACCTACGCATATTGCCCATTTGAAATTCTGTTTCCTTTTCTTTTATAGTAATAACTGATTAAACTGAAGTTTCGGTCTTAATGACTGGAAACGTCCCTACATACTTTGTAATAGATTACCGCGCGAAAAGCTCGTTCGTGAAAATATTCAAATTTAACAGGATGAACACATTTATTTGAGCTGAGTTTTGTTTTGGAGCTAAGCATGTTAATACCACATGTAAAGTACAAGAAATCTATGCCAAAATATCCTTGATTATGGATAATAATCAAGGATATTTAATAATTAAAAGTATTAGTATAGTGAAAATGACGATACCTTCGACGCATCTACAATAACACGGCACTCAATACAGGTGCAATAGATGTACTCTGCTCACTAATTTTGACTTGTTATTGAATTTGTACGTGGAAAAAATATTAATCTGCAATTTGAAATCTAAAAGTGCTTTTAAGCAATAAAGTAAAAATAAGCAAACAATAACTTAAAAAATTTTTTATTAAAAATGTATCTACAAGTTACCAGCAATGCCGTTGGATTCAATTAAGTAGAAATTGTGATACAATACCATTAACTCATTTCGAATCGAATAAAATGAGAACTACAATACATAATTTTTAACAATCTAGTTCTTTCTAAGCACAACAAAAGACTATGAAAGAGAAAAGTTTAGTACACCTAACAAAAACTATGACGAGCATTACTGAATATTACCTCCATACGAATACTTACATTTTTATAGACTTCAACGAATCGATTTTTTGGTGGTCGTCCACGCTTTCTGTTGAAAAAGCCATCAATTGACGTGATCTGCTTCACTTGATTTGAGGATGATACACCTGAAGAGATAGTCTCTGCGATGCAACCAATATTTCTAATTGAACTTGCTTCGGTCGCATTGGTAGGCTTTCCTACCGAATTTTTACTTAAATCGATTACGATATCAGTAGATTGGTTTTCCACCTGCTTTTCCTTTTTGGATAAAGCAGATTTCATACACTGCATTTGCAGCAATATTTCTTGGTGCGGTCGAAGGCATTGTGGAGGATTTGTATGTAATTTGCACTCATTTTCATTAATATGATGAAATAGCATATACTTAGACATGTCATTTTCTTCTTCATATGAATTTTTTCTGCTTTTATTCCGAATATTTAATAATTTCAGCTTATTTTCAGCATTCTCAGGTATATTTAGTACTTGTTCCATCGAGTCATTTTTATTAAACTCTAAATTATTAAAACTTAGTCTGGCACTGGACGATTGCGTTTGGGTAGACAGACGCATCTTAATTTGGTTTCATACTTCTTCCAATGTACCAAGCTCTTACATATTGTCTTCTGTGGCAAAGTAGGTTGAGAAAAACTAAATTAATTATACAATATGAGTAGCTATTTATATTAGATTCAAACTAAGTTCACTAACATATGCTATAATTATAAACAGATATATGTTAGCGGGAAATTTTATAAAAACCTAATGAAAATATTTATGAATTCTATAAAATTTTCTTCATACTTCATTAAGGATAATATCTCAACCATGCACTTTAAAGTTTGGAGTGCTCCCAAGAAGCCCATAAGGACTAGGTTGACGATTACTGGTAGAGAATATTAACATTATGAAAACATATATAAATTAAGATACAAAACGTTTAAGCTAGAGTCTGCTGAAGTTTGAATACTTTCTACAGACTTCAGATCATGAAATGTTACCCATTCCGTTGCCCTAATTTAGCAGTATAGTTTCAGTGATGTATGTTAAACAGACTGTCATTCAATCAATATGGAAAATTGAGTAATCTCTGGAAGTGTTAAAATGTATTACATTAATAATGGGGATTCCATAATCCATTTTGCATTTTCAATTTTTATTTCACATCTAGTTTTCTGCAGCATTGAGACTCTCTCTTAGTTCACACAAAATTGTTGTATTGGACTCAGTGAAAATTGACCGGATATAGATTCGAAGATATGTACTTTCAATAAAAGAGTGTCGCAAAAATTTCCAAAGCCAAATTTCCCTATGTTCATGCGATATTGCATTACTAGGCTTTTTTCTGGAATCATACAATAGATTGTGTGCCTGCAGATAATTGTAAGCTTTCGATACCTTAAAAATTAACACCCATGTCATGTCACCCATGTAACACATATGTATGTATTTTGCAAATGATAAAGTTTTAACAATATTCTAAAATATATGATCGAAACCTCAAGGTTTCGGAAGAAACAACTTGATATCAAAAAAATATTAAAAATATAATCAAATAAAATTTTGATAGCCGTATATAAGAAGAGGGTTAAAGTAAATTCAGAGAAGGTGCTCTGCATTTAAAGTATCGAAAAAATAAGGGAAATTTCAGTTTTTTTTAAGTAACTAGCAAAGAATTAATTTTAGGGTTAATTTAATTTAATTTAAGGTTAATTTTATACATTGCAAGCGTCTACGTCGACATCTTAACCTAGTCCACTTGTAAAACTTTATTTTTCTGACATAATTGGTTATCGGTCATTGTTAATTCTTTCGTGTTTCGTTTACCATCCATGATTAAGTCTGTTATGTTTTTATAAAAGAACTTTATACATTACAAGACTTTTTCTCGAAAATTTACACAAAATTTTCAGTTTTTTTGAAACTAATGGATTTTTTGATCTCAAAAATTTAAATATTGGCCTGAGAGGGTTAATATTTATTACATAGTAGTATTAAAATTTTATATTAATTTCTTATATTAAAACTTTTCAAAAACATAGACCACCTCCCATACAAAAATTGGGTTCTTAACTCCCATTAGGTAAGATCTTAATTTTTGGCATTTGAAAATGTTCACTACAAATACGTAACTCAAATTGATAATTCTGGTTTTAAATAGCCACGATGGTTTTTACGATATTCACTTGAAACCTATAATACGAATTCTTGTCCTTCTGCGTCTTTATTGAGCATATTATAATATCTTGCCACTAACTATATGCCACGTTAGCATATATTCCATGAATATGGATCATGTTGTAAGAAATGGATGGAGATATTATAGCGATTCAAAAAGTTGATTGATTGATATAATGTAATGTTGATTTTGTCTTATGTATTCCCATTTAGTACACTAACGTAGTACCGTTTTCATAGTTAATAGATTAGGTTAGGTTACTGGGGCTGTCCGAAGACTTACTTAGACCATAAGGTCCATTGTGATACCCTAAAGAATTTAACACCTGTCCCTATAACCAGTTGGTACTGGCCGCAAAGCCATTGACACGAGCTATGGAAATAGAATCTAGCTCACTTAGTGAATTGAAAAAGTGTGACCCTAAGTAGGAGAGTCTATGTCTATAGTCTATAGTTAATAAGTGATTCAACTATTTTATTTCTAATACATCGAGGTATACTTTAATAGAAAAATTCTAGCCTGAGTGCTTCCTCTGCTATACGCCACAAATACTTACAGAATTGAACTAAAACAACTCACTGTAATTCGTCATATATGTTTGTATAGACGTTTGTAATGCATAAAAGAAAATTGTATTTCTTAAAAATACTATGAATCAGGCGATCCTCCGATCTCCCTAAAATTAATACTGTCACTGGGAAAAAAAAACAAAATATTTCGTTGAGTTTCCAATACTTTCAACGTTGTTTCTCGTACTTAAAAAATTGTAGGTCTTTTATAAGGAAATCGAATTTTCGTAAAATAAAAACATATAGAACTAACATCAGTTTTCGAGAACATAGTCTTATACTATATTTACGCTTACAGTCACTGAACTAAGGTTAGCACATTTTGATCTCATATATGACACTTATTACTGCAAATTTGGCTAGTTAATTGTGATATATTATAGCGATTTGTTGATAAAAACTATAACCGATCTGCACACTTTTACATAGTAGTAGTTATATTTAAATTCAAACCAGAGTAAATTAAATATATCAGACATACTTAAGTTTTACTCAAGTCGAAGTTTACAGTCCGTTCTGAAACAAAATTTGTATTGAAATCAGCATAAACTCATCCGGAACAGTTCACATTCGTATTCTTAAAACTTGTTTTGATTTGTTATTAAGAGTAGAGAAATTTGTTGGATATTATCATAGAGAACTCTAAATAACATTATCACTTAATTTCTGGTACAATCTGAATTCAAATCAAACTAACTTCAATGTACTATAAGATGAATTCAGATCTTATTCAGATCTTATGTATTATTTTCATAAATATCATTTCGTTATTGTTTGTTTCACTCAAATACGAAAAAACTTGGAAAGTAAGTGGAAAAAGGTCAATTGTAGTAGATTAAAGTAGTTTGCTTTTATCTTACTTAAAGCACAAAAAATGTTTATATATGGCAAATTAATAATAATAATTGAAACACCATTTCATAAATAATTTACTCAAAAATGAATTTCCACTTAACAATAAAGAAAATCGTTACAAACGTATGCACGCGACTTATTTTACTTATAAATTAGAATACTTTAATTTACCAGGTGACCGTCAAACTCGAACCCCCGTGTTACACAAATTTAACGTATATGTGATATGAAAAAATTTTTGTTTTCCTACACTCCTTCTCCAGAAAACGAAAGCCGGAGCTCAGCTGCGGTGGAGCCTAAACAAATAATACTGGTACTTGTATTTTCAGTACGAACAGAACTTGAGTTCTGCCGATAGTAAAGAAAGACAGTCAGTTAATGTTTCTCTTTTAATCTCTTGCGTTTCTTACTCTTTGTCATTGTTCGCTGAGTAAACCCTTTTTTCTCTCCAGACCGTTGATCATATTTTAATAAACTAAAATCATTTTTGACTTTATTTAAAAATAAAGTCAATAGCATAAAAATCTAAACATGATTATTAATGCGAATATAACACTAAGTAATGTATGCGTTTATTAAATAAAATTCGAATGGCTTAAATACCAATTATATAATTTCATATTCGCAGTATTTTTTGACACTACTATAGAATAAAACAAAAAATTAAGTTAATTTTTATTTTGTTTCCTTTATTAGGCGTTTTCGGTGGTTCGCAAATATGGCAAAAAACTGCAAGTTGCTGGCCTATATTGGCCAAAATGCACGCAAAACAACAACACTATTTTCTCTAACTAGGCCAGTACAGGTAACCTGTATACCTATACACACATCGGCCAGCGAAAAAAAGTGTTACGAACTATTGTGAACGAATATTGCAATCATATGTCAAAAAATAAATGTGTTTCATAAATTTGAATATTGGGAAAAAGAAACATTTCACTGTTTTATTTTGAAATTTTTATCATTCCTTTTAATTTTGTATTTATTTTAATTTTCAATTTTTTATTAATTTGTTATTTTTATTTAGAATGTGATTTGCTGCAGTATGTGCACATGTGCAAGATTTGCTATTTGCCAAAACATAACACTTGACAGATTGCAACAGTGATGCCAATGTCTAGCTTAGCGAATATAGGCCAGCATGCGTTTTTTGCCACACTTGCGAGCCATCGGAAACGGCAATTGTAAATTTAAAATACTTTTGTTATTTTATGATAATTTGTCATTATTTGTCGCCATTATCGTGTTTGGTCGAATTATGCTATAAAAATTGGTATATGTATAGACAAAATAAAACCGATAATAACAAAAAATTCTAACTCAGGATTGGTATAAAAAAATACTTCATAGTTGTGCTATTTTAATTTTTCTGTTCACGTTTTTGGTTAATGTTTACAAATACATTACTATATATATTCTGTCTTAATGATCCTTTAAACTAATTAAATTTATAATATATATGACCGATTAGATTAATTTTTTGGGAAGAATTTTTTCGAGTAATTGAAGTCGTAATTGTTTCTTTTAGAGTAGCAAGAAAATACTCGTAAATTACAAAAGAAAATATGTGTAGCAACAAAAAAGCTCTTTAAACCTTTAGAATTAGGTTTGACTCGTAAAAAATGTTAAGTCTTAAGTTTCTGTGTAGCCAAATTCAAAAATCAGTCTATTGTGAATGATCACTGGAAATATGTTGCAAAATTCCAGTCGTCCGTTAAAATCATATGAGGATTTCATTTACTGATCATTTTAAATGTATAAATAAATAAATTTATTAGATAAAAATGCTTACCATTGCCCTTCTTCTAATAAATCAATTAATTCTTAGTGTTTACAATTTTTATATTTTATATTATACACAACACAACCGAAAACATATGTCAAAAAACCATTTAACATATTTTAAAAGTGATGCCAACTTTTTGAACCATTGAACCTTTTTGAAACGTTTTCTTCGATAAAATATTGCCATTTTGAATGCAATTTTATTATGCCTGTCTCATAAAGGTCCTC